TTATTCTTGAATTCTTGATATTTAAAAAAATTAATAGGCATACATTGTGTGCATACATTTTCCTTAAATATGTATTTTATTAATTTAGATGATATTGAACCAGAGCAATTTGTTAGAGATTTGTGTGATAGCCATGAAAGCAGTACAATTTCAAAGACAACTGAATCGACAAACTTGACWGGTACGTGGAATATGAAAATGTTATACTTAAATCTAAATAGTTAAATTAAATTAATTAATATTTTTTTCTAAAGAAAATTACTAGATGTATTATTCTTGAATTCTTGATATTTTAAAAAATGTAACACTCATTTTTATCATTTATTTCATTTTGTTTTTTGATATTAATATATCATGTTTTATTGTTTTGTTTTTTAATCAAATTAAAAAACTTCTTTGTTTTATCATAGGCAATAATTATGAAAGTAAATTTCCAAACGATCCATCAAAGATACCAGATAATGTTTCCCATACTTTACTTCATTATTTTATGGAAATGGGACCATGTCAACCTTGCCCATTTGATCTGCTCAATAATATATATCCAAAATCTTTGGATTCAAGTGGTTTTTCTAGATCATTTCATCAATCATATTTTCACAAATCACTATCAGATGGAAAATTAGTTAAAAGAATCTGGTTATCATACTCACCAATCTTGGATAAAATTTACTGTACTACATGTAAATTGTTTGGTTTATCGAAAAAAAAAAAAAATAAATTTGTGGCAAATGGCTCGAAAGATTGGAAAAATTTGAAGCGAACAATTGAAGTTCATGAATCAATTCTTGAACATTTACAGGCTGAAATAAGTCGTGGCCTTTATATTGCAAATTTACGCTTAGATTTAACTTTACTTCAGTCTGTTAATAATCAAGTAGCTACAAATCGTGAGATTGTTCTAGCTGTAATTCAAATATTAATATATTGTGCTCGTCAAAATATTCCACTTCGTGGTCATGATGAAAAAATTACTTCACAAAACCAAGGAAATTTCTTAGAACTAGTTAAACTAATAAGTAAATATCATCCATCTTTAAATAATCATTTAGATAAAATTAATAATATTACTAAAGAAAACCGTTTAACGTTTTTATCCAATAGAAGTAAAAATAATTTATTAAAAATAATTGGTGACATGATACGTACCAATATTCTAGATCAAGTAAAAAAATCTCAATTATTTGCTGTCATAAT